TTACTGAACTATGACTTGACCCAGTTTTTTACTTCAGAGGAAAAAAAAAGCAATACAAACAAATACCAATACCCTATTCCATATGACACTGTCTACATTAAGATGCTTTGCTTTTCTTCAAATAGCTGCTGAGAGGTTTTTGTAATGGAACTAAAAGAACAGGCAACATAAAAGTATAAGACTTTTTAACATCAAAAGGAGACCTCATAGTATCTGTTACATGTGTTACTACATGAGGTACTCTACATTTTACATCACACAACCCACATTTTACCAGGAAAGTATGATCTTTTTGTGTGTGTGTAATTTTAATTTGTTACACTTTTCCAAAATAACATGCTAGAACTCGATTAAGTGCTAATATGAAATTTATGCTTTGCAATCCAACAAGTATCTTGGCTTCTATTAATTTTGCAGGAATTATGGTAAGCTCATGTCTTTGTTCATTAACCTTAAAGAAACGACAGCTCCTCTAGAGTCACAGACTGATGCTACAGAGTCTTTTTATTCATTCGTGGTTGGTTCTAACTTTAGATTTTTTTAATAAAATAGCAAAACAACGTAGTGAGTCATATTAAAGCCTGAAACAACCAAAATGTAAACTTTTTTTTTTTAGCCAATAGCTAAATATTGGACATTAGCAGCTGGCAATGATTAATATGCTAGGCAAATTATTATTGATTTTAACTCTGATGTGTCTATGCATTTCCATGAAAAAACTCAGACTTTTCAAGGAACTGAAGAATCAAACCCACAAATACAGAGAATAATCTCATGGAGTATAAAGCTTTAGCTAAATAATTCAAATGTTTACTTTTCTGCAAGCAAATGTTTTAAGAATTGCTATTTTGTAGTTCCTATTTCTAGGTATTTTTATCCAAGAGATCTCTTTTTGTTGCTGTTTTTTTTTTTTTTTTAATGCTCAACTAAAACCAAGTAATAAACAAGAATTTGGGGTTTGACCATGATAAGTGGGATGACAATATTTAAATTTTTATTCCTCTGATGAAAGGAGTCTGCTTTGACAGAGGCGATAAGCAGTTAAGCTTGCTGCAAGCAACCTCAATTTTTATATTTCTTTTTGATGTGTTCCAGAAATATGTGCAGAGAATCTGTATGTGGATCCTCTTTCCTACAGCAGTTAATCTAATCTTTCTGCAATATGTTTTATAGGATTCACTGTTGGCTTTGTATCAAAGGCTGCTGGAGGAATTGCTGTTGTGATGCTGCATGCCAAGACGTGCACTGAGCGCTGCCACCAGGAAAGTTCTCCAAGACACGGCCTGGGGATAGTCCAAACATGTTCCTGCATGAAGAACTCCTGCCCTTCACAAGGGCAGCTCTATCAGGGCCGCACTGGAAAGAGAAGACTGGAAGTAAGTTCATTGCAGGACCTTTGAGTTTGCTACTCATATTATTAATAATAATAGTTAAACAAAACTTTTTCTCTGGTAAAATAATGAGCAGGTGGGTGGGAAGCTCAAGAGAAGAAGAACTGTTTATTTTCAACTAAGTAAGTAGTGGGAGTTTTGCTGGGAAAAAATGTAGCTCCCAAACTGCCGACTCATTTTCCTTTCTGGAACACGTATAATGTAGGTATAACCTGTATAAAAACACAGTGATATTAGACTCGCCCAGCTTCTGAAGGTGGGTACACTCCTCGTTGTGGCAAAGGCTGAACTCATGCAGCTATGGTTGCTATTGCTTGCTGCTGACAGTTCCTGATAGCATTTGACTAAAGCAACTGTAACTATGTCATTTTCACTAAAAAAAGGTCAGGAACAATATTTTAAGTGAGATCTTAACATTTGTAGAACGCAGAACAATGTCAAATAGTTGCTCAAATCACCATAAACTCCACAGTACTCTTACACCTCCCTGTCTTCTCTTCCAGATACTCCCAACAGCCTTTCAAACAGCTGTATGGCCACTTGAAATCTCATATTATAGTCTTACTAGATTTACTGGATTCAGCTATGGAGAGGATAATTGTATGTTGCAGCTGGGCTACCAGAACAAAGTCTCCGAGTTCTGATTTATGCTACAACAAAACAAAACAACCCCTCACCTTAATTATATTGCGTGTATAATGTATTTCTTCTTGTACTGGTAAACTTCTAAAAGGATCATGGAATTAATTCCCTCAATTGTTTCCTTCCCAGCAATGCCGAGCAAGAATGAAGAGTGCTGACAAATCAGGTAGATGTGTGTGTCACTAATCCGTACAGATCAGCACTCCTTGAAATGTGACCAGGGAGAGCGAGAGCGGGGTCTCCAGAGATGCGCGCGGCTGCTGCCGCTTGCCGCTCCTGCATTCTACTCACTCAAAGATGAGCTGTAAACTTCAGAGGAAAACGAGAACAACTTGATGCCTACAAGCATAAATACAGGAAGGCATTAGAGTTTTTGGAAGTCTGTGAAATTGATTTGATGCACAGACATGTGAAGTCTCCAATTATTTGGAACTACCTGAAGCATTTGCTAGAGTATACATTGTTTTGAAATTGGCTTCCTCACTAAAAAACTATATCTATGGATATAAATTATTCAACACAATTAAATAGAATGATCACTGAAAAGAGGCAATATGTGAAGAATATGGAAGTTCTGGAATACATACAAAACAGAAAGCAGTACTGATGGAAAAATCTATTTCTATATAATCTATGATATAGATTTTATTATTATTATTATTATTTTTACTGCTTTACTGCTACCGGCAATACTGTATTTTTGAGATGACTTTATGGACTACAGTTCTATTCCTCACTGAGCCTGCACTGGACAAAAAGAATAGGCTATATAAAATATGTAAAATATTATAGGAAGTCTGGATTTGGGACTTCTCTTCCGCTTCAGATAAAAATGCACTGGCTGCAAGACACAAGGTGCTGGTCCAATATAAAAGCCCTCTGCTCTGTGATTTGTTCAGAGTTTTTACTGGGTTAACGTTCTTCTTGAGACATGACAAAGAAGGTACCGTAGGGCCACACAACTGTAATTATTAGGGTTCCTCTATGCACTGTCCTTTTGCAGACAAGTCTAGGCAAGTACAAGTCTAGCACAAACAAAATGATGTCCTTTGGCTAATTTGAAAGAATCGCACCCATATTTCCACACCTGATCCAGATCAAATTTGTACTTCTGAGTACTACATAGATCTAATCAGCATTAATGATTAAGAAAGCACAACTGCAGTGGAGGGACGAGAAAATGATTTTTCCCACCTACAAAGATAATTTCAGAGGTTAGTTATATACGAAGGAAAAATTGACATAATTTTCAGAGATATGCACATACAAGGTAGGAGAAGAAATAAGGAACAAATTTTATTATATTAACATTTCACATTGATTGGGGCAGGATTTAATGAAGGTTATTTCTGTATTACCTAGCAGGCCTTGATTTGGAAGAAGACGGCTGGTTGCCTAACATCCTAGAAGCCTAAAAACTAGCACAAGGTACAGACCTTCAAACCCATCGCGGGGAAGAACAAACCCCATGACAGGACCATGGGCTCCTGTGGGCTGCACTGTGCCTTGGGCAGAGGAGCTCAGGGATCCAGGTGGTGTGAGATGCTGAGAGACCCCGTGGGGGCTCCCCGGCTCCGCTCTGCAGGGTCTCGAGGAGCTTCCAGGGAGCCCCCCAACGCCAGCCCCTGCTGCACAGCCGTGTTTCTGATTGCAAAGTTTCCAATAAACACAGGCTGGCAGAGCTTACACTCTATTTCTATTCGGAAGGAGGTTCTCAATATTTCCAGCTGATTTTTTCTTTGGTATTGATATAAAGTAAAACGGTTGTCACATGAAAAAAGGAGTAGACTGGCACAATATTGTCACAAAAGATATTAAAAAACAAAAAACCCTAGTACATTAAAATAGATGAACATGATTTTTGTATATGATCTATGTCATATTTTCTATCTTGAAAACTGCTGTGTCTGAGATAAACAATATAACAAGGAGTTACTTAGAGGAGTATATCCCATGATCTACATGAGAAATTACAACGAAAGAACTTATTCTGTGCTCTGAAGGGAAGGCAAATATATATATATATATATGTATATATATATATTTTTTTTCTTCAAGACACAACATGCCCAAGTAGACATGTTATCTAAAGCCAGGAAACACCTAGAACAACCAGTCACAGAAAACAACCATAAATAATATGGTAGCGCCGATGAGGAAATGTCTCTTTCATTTAAGAGAAAAATGATATGACTTATAAAATCAAACATTTGTACAATTTGTGATATTAATAAAGTTTTTGCATTCATGAATTTATTTTTAGTATACAGAGTAACAGTGTAAATTGAGGTTGCCTGGAATCTTAATTTCTTTACATTCAGAACCCTCACTTAAAGCTTCTTCAAGTAGTTCATATTCTTTCTTGATTTGGAGGGAGGATTCTTTTTGTTTTTGCGAACACGAGCTCTTAAGAGTGTGGCTTAATAGTAATGAGATACAGTCCGGAGCTTCTGGTTCACCTATTCAAAAATTGTAGGTGAAATAAACTCCTTTTTATTAGTTAATTAATTAATAAGAAGTTTGACTTATTGACAAATTATAAATTAATTAGAGAGCCACTAGCTATGCCCTTGTTTGAACATATGTATTTAACTTATTGTATGAAAAATTCTAGAAATAATGCTACTATCATGGTGGTCTGATATAAAAAAATACTAACAACCCAAAATACAGAACAGTCAGAGTAATATTCTTTCAAATATTTACAGTTTTTACATTGTTGGAAGCAGTCATTTTTTTTTCCAAAAGAGCTCAAAGCTTTTAACAGTTCTGAAGTAAATCCACTGAAGTTAATGCATTTGCAAGAAAAAAATTAGAATATTATCCACAATAATCATACAAATACATCAAACATTTTTTCCTATATAAAGAATGTCATTATAATGAGTCAATACATAAGAGCAGTTTTGTCTGCTTCCATTTTACCAGTATGTTAAGTTCTCATAATATGATGCTCTGTAGTTTACAAAGAGGTGTTTGAAAGCATTTCTCTCAGGCTCTTTTCAAGAAACACCTGTTCCAAATTCATTAATGCCAGTCAAAAGAATGATTAACCATTCTGTAAAATTTTGCATTGTGCTCTCTAAAGTAAGAATAAAGTTGCTCTAAAACAGTATTGTTGACAACGGGATGGGGACGCCCTTTGGATTCATGTAAACACCTCTCTCTCCCATCGCTTCTAATGCAGTAGAATCCCTTGGTTTGATTAAAATAAAAATTAGAAGACATAATTCGGGAAGGAAGATTGAGAAATTTTTCTACTTTCTGTAACTCAGGAAGAGGATCCTTGATTAAAGTATTACCATCCACTATGTGAATCTGATCCAAATTGAAATGCTTGAGCCACTTTTCCATATGAACATCGTACAGACTTCTCTGAATAGCTTTGTATTTGGTATTAAGTGCTCCATTCTTAATAACAATGTCTTCAAAGAGCTGAACAGGCTTGTGGCTTTCTACTCGGTTGTAATATACTTGGGTATAGTCAGATATAACTCTCTCGGTGGGATCTCTCAGAATGAGCAGCAGCTTAATAGAGCTGTTCATGTCATGGATTCTCTCTGGAGCCTGTGGCGATGTGAAATAGCCTGGTGTTTTCTCAATTGTAATTTGATTTCCATAAGAAAATGGCATCAGACTCCTATACCAGTCTATTCCTTTCACGTAATTTTCATCCCAGTCAAAGAAGTGGACTTCTGTAGCTGCCACCACAATATTAGGATGAATATCCAGCATTTCCAGCAAAGCCCTCGTGCCTCCTTTACGAACTCCTATTATGATTGTCTGAGGTATTCGCCGGCTTGTGCCAGGAGGTCTCACCTGTGCAGAATAGTGTTCGCTTTTATTGCTGAATAATCCTACTTGCGACTTCAGCGTTTCCAGCAGGGCCCCGTTCTCAGCAGGAGCACCCTGAGCATGAGTCAGCAGAAGATAAGCTGACACCAGAAGGAAGGCCATGTGGAGGGGAATAGTTAGTTCAAGATAATAGTACGTTTGACTAATGAAACACTAGGTAAGCCTCCTCTTGAGGAGCTGGTTGGCAGAACTGGTGATGGACACACAGCAAGTTTCTGAAACATCTAAAAAGAAAAAAGATCATTCAGTACTTTGAAGCTCATCACAAATTGGCAGTTACCATTCAACTTGCATTCACAACACGGAAAATTTATACCACAAGTAGTTGCTTTTACTGATGGTATTTCAGGAGAACAACAACCACCCATAGACTTGCCTGACTTACTATTACATGACCATTCATAATCAGCTGAAACCCAGGATGCCAGGTAATATGTGATATTAGTCACATAGTGAGAGTTTCAGCTACAATGTGTCATCGATATAATCTGTCTCATTCCATTTTTTGAAGCCTGAAAAACTACGTGAGTTTGTGTCCCGTTAGAGATTTGCAAAATTGCCAGAATGCAGTCATTCACAACTGGTTAGCAATGAATCAGTTATCAATCAGTTATAAGTCAGTACTAGCTATTTGTGCCTTGGATTTTTTTTTTTTCCTTGATCCATTTTCCTCAATCCACTTATGTTTGGAGAGATTCGCCCTCTGAATGTGCTCAGCATTTGTGGGTACATTGAGGGCAGAAAGTTCTGCGTTTCACGGGGTACACAGACTCCTCAGGTTGGCAGCACCAGTCCCGAGACTCGGCTGAGGCAGCAGCGTTTTCCCCTCCTGTCATTACAGCACCATCATGCTCTCATGCTATTGCTAACTGAGCAAAAATGTATTTGTTGAGCAACTTTATAACTGCTAAAATAGGCAAAGATCCTGGATATATTGAAAAAGCATTTACCTTTGCTGAGACAGAAAATGACCAGAATTTGAGTCTCAGACTGCTATTATATTCCGTCCTGACTATCTCAACATCCTTCTTTGTTGTCTACCCAAACACATTTTTTTTTTCTTTCTTACCTGCGAAATGCTTGCAGGAGAAATTGAATTGAGAATGTGCTGTAAAGCTAATGCCTAAATAGATCAAAATTGCCTTGGGGAGAATTCCATCAGAACAACGCGCCAGCGTCTGCCTAAGAGATGTGACTGATTTTGATGAAGCTCTGAGATGTTAGATCCTGTGGTTAGGTTATAATTGCTACATAAATGTGAAAAGGATTTAAACATGATTTATCAAACACAATTGGAAAGTTGTTTGAATAATTCCTGTGTTGCTTCTTTGTCTTTATGCAATTAATGCATATTTTGAAGAGATAATATGAACTGCTTTGTGTAATGAAAACAATATATTTTACACTGCTGCACTGTGCACTCTCTGAATCTCAGCGTATTCCTATTAGCTTTATGGAACACAACTAAAAAAATTTACCCATGCTACAAGATCAGAATTACGGTGCCTTATTAGATGCTTTTTTCTATTATTTGGTAGTGCTGGTGTTGCTTAGTAACATAAGAAACAGCTACAGTTATGGTACATATTAAGCAGAAAAAGTTCAGAAAGAAATTCATGCTGCAGAGAGAACTAATTAAGTAAATAATACCTTGGGCTTTTGTTTGTTTTACTTTTTCAAAGCCTTAGATATAACATTTACTAACGAAGCTAATAAGCTGGCTAAAAATCATTTTGAAACTGCAGAAATATTCAAGAGACCCTTAACTGCTGCAGTCTGTTTTAACAAATCTTCTAAGGAGCTTATGATGCTTCAGGGTGAAGCACTGTATCACAGAGTAAACTTAACTTTATTATTATTACTAATTTATAATACTATTAATTTCTAAGAATACTTTTCACTGCTTACATGCTTTTAACTGGAGAATTTCACAGCACTGTGTGCTGTCCGATTTAAAAGAGGAACGGACTGGTTTTCCTATTTATTCTTATTTGACACCAGCTCATTGAAACACAGACACCAGCCACAGAGCGGAGATTCCAGTCAGCTGCGTCTGGGCTGCTGGCGCAAGAGCTGGTGACAGCTCAATGACACCGCTGGAACCAAGCACAGCTTTAATGCTGCTGGTGGTAAAAAAGAGAGAGCAAAAAAAAAAGCCTAACTGTATTTATAACTAGACGCTACATTGGTGGTATTGTATCAAGAAAAATAAAGTTTCGAAAATCATACACGATGCAGAAAATACAAAAGCATAGGGTTGGAAATGCAAAGTGGAGCAGGTGAAGCTGGTGTAATGAACACGACATACAGTGCCCAGCTAAATGCCCTGCACGGCTGTAGGCCTCGTGTCAGCCGTGCTTTAAGGAACTGCTTGAAAGGGCTACACCACACAGGGTACATCGCTGCTTTTTTTTTTTTTTTTTTTGCTTTGGTAAAAGCAGAGCTGGTCATATGGCATAATAAATACAAATCTGTCCTCAGTGTAGATTACACGTTAAGAAAAAAAAAAATCAAATTGTTACCTGTGAATTGTTATTCGGATCTAGTAAAGCACTGGCTAAATCTATTAACTCTAAGCAACGAAATGTTAAAAGAAATGAGACCATCAGGAAGTCCTTTCATAAGATCTTGACCACCCCCCCCCCCCACGAAAACATTTTTTGAAAAAAAAAAAAAAAACAATGGTTATCATGACCTGCCTCAGAGAAACTCTTTTTGTTTGAATATATATATACATATATATATATATATATAGGAACAAAATTCGGCTATTTCTGTCTACATAGTGCAGATAGATATGCCTAGACTGATTGCAGATGGTGTGAGAGCATGACATGGCCCGGGCATAAAAATATTTAAGTGTTGAAAAGGCTTTCTAAATAGGAACAAGTATAAGTAAACCTTGATTTCCTTACAAGCAGAGCACTTTACATTAGGAATGAGACCAATTAGGTAAAAATGTAATATGCTTTGAGTTGTGTCCTAAATGTTTCAGTGAGAGCTGATTGAGAAGAATCCAAAATAAACAAATACCTTTTTTTTTTTTTTTTTTTTTTTTTTTTTTTTTTGCTATAGAAGTCTTGAAACAGAAGTTTTCGTATGTGTGCTCCATGTTTCCTCAGCTTGAGGATAACAACTTAGTAGCAGCATCCCATCAGGGCATTGCTGGGCTTTGCCAGGCTCCCCCTCCCTGCACATGGATGAGAGGCAGAGCAGCTTCCCCAGGGGACGCGGATCCAAAGCACAGAGAGCACCAAGGGCTGAGCAAGAATAAAAGGTCTCGCTGCACTGCTGCAGCAGGGCATTTTTGTGAGCTTCAAGTAGACTTCCACTCATTTCTGGCTATGCATGGGGAAAGGGGATTAGCAAAGTACATAAAAGACCACGGATCCCCCACATGAAACAAACATCGCAGGAGTTCATATTGCTGACAAGAAACATTAATATTTGTGAGTGCATGTAAGAAATGTACTCAATTTCATTTTACTCAGAGATCTGGGCATTAATTAGAAAGGGAGATGAAATAAGATTTTCTTAAATGCGGCACTTCCTAAAAATGATCCTGCAGACTATTCCAAACACTTACTGAAACAATCTTACTCTCCTGAACCCCTCTGAAAATGAAAGCGTCTATAGGTGTCTGTATAACTTCTAATCTACAAAAATATGTATTATTGGAAAGAAGAGGCAAATAACTTAATGTTTGTAAAGCCTAACATTAGCAGTGAATTTACTGACCGGTGCTTTTGTTAACAAAGCTGCAGTCTTATAACAACAACCATCAACTTGCAGGAATAAAGAAAGGACCAAAAAGAAAACAGCAACTTAGTGACTAAAGACAGGGAATGCAAAGCAATTGCAATCGGCTGCAGGCTTGCCTTCTAGCCAGTATGCAGATGGTTAACGGATTAAAAGCAAAGCTAAGCAAGGTTAGCATAAACCATAAACACGGTAAATGGCTGGCAGGTGATATTAGCAGATAGGAGTGCAGAAAAAAGTTTGCTCCCCTACGGCTAGCATTACATTTTCTAATTCTTATTTCTGATAAGTGAGGATAGAAAATTGCCTGATGAGACTGTGACTGCACATATCAAATAGTACAGTAACATATACAGTACAAATATGCAGTAATAGATTTCTAAGCTAAACAAACCTATAGCTGTAGCCTACCCATTTGTATTTTATGGAATCTTTGAACATAAAACAATCAAAACACCCGCATAAAAGTTACTGAATTCTGATTTCATGGACTCCTTTAACAACAAATCAGATATAGTGTTCATTGTTTCTAAATAGAGGCTAAAAATAATCTATTGCTATTGGGATGTAAGGGAATAGTGGTCAGATTAATACAGATGACAAGGCTAATTTTATATACCTAACCACCCTACACATAATAGAAGCATATTCCAAATGAAATCACATTATCCTTTTCGTTGACCTCTGTGCGTCAGGCCTAACACAAGCTGCAGCACCGGAGGTGCCGGGCCCCGGCGCTCCGGCCGGCGCTGGGCCCTGAGCACGCAGGGAGTAGGATGTCGTGCTGGGCGGTGGACATCGGCCCTTCGTGCTTTTCTATGGAGCTCCCTCCGGCAAAGCCTTGGCCGCTTGGCTAGCGGGGGGGCTAAACACTATTTGCCCGTGTCCATTTTCACATTCACTAGGGAGTTAAAACTGGGATTTGCTCCACACGAGGCCTGTCCTGCCGAGGAGGCTCCCTGCGGGCTGAGCGATGGCAGGCGCTGCGCTCACATGGGAGGCGAGGCCAGGCCGGCGGCATCTCCGCGTGGCAGGACAGCAAACGCCTGCAGGGCAGCCCTGTCCCACAGGCACCCCAAGAGCCGCTGCTATGATCTCTTGGAAAGAAAAAAAATAAGGAAAAATATCTGCTAAGCTGAACTGGCAGAGATTCAGAAGCAAGACAGCTTCAAGGTTTCCAGAAAGTGAAGAACTTGGCTCAGAGGAGAGTTTTTCTGGTCAGATCTTGGAGAGATTTTGCCTTGAGGTCTCAGCAGGCACCAAGGCAGGTGAGAGGGTCTGGGCACAGTCCCTGGAAGCTGCGGCTCAACAGCCAGGGCAGCCTCGGAGCAGCCGGGAGAGACGGCGGGAGCGGCAGCCTCCAGCAAGGAGCATCTTCATCCCCGCTGTTCAGCACTTCAGCCCCGGCCGCGCTCTGTCAGGGAGGATTCAGCTCCCTCTCGCCCTCCATAATAACTCTTGGGAGAACTTT